CTCTCTCTCTCTCTCTCTCTCTCTCTCTCTCTCTCTCTCTCTCTCTCTCTCTCTCTCTCTCTCTCTCTCTCTCCTGGTTGTCTTCTTTGCAGGTACGCACAGCGTCATTCTTCTTCCGCAGATCAGCTGTGGCGGACTTCTCCTTCAACGGCGATGGCGCGTGGAATAGCGGGTACCAGCTCCGATACCAATGCAATCACTCGCCTTCTCTTCCACTTCGCATTCATGCAAACAGATGACAAGTCACACTGGCGCTCAGCGCCCACTCAAAGCTCAGAGATACGGACGTCGGAAACACAGTTCAGATACATGCTCGCTTCAACAGGCTATGGCGCATCAGCGCCTGTACAACTCTCTGTTCGTCACTGTGCTTAACCCCGCTGTTCACACACACTCGACTCAGGATCACCCTGGATATCCCACACGTGACACACTGTCTCACACACAGGCACACACCACACTCGCCTATCACCTACGGCGGCTATGGCCGCTCAGCCCTGCTGGCTATGGCTACTCAACTTCTACTCTGCCCACTTCGTCTTCGGGCGCTCTGCAGACCACCTCGCACAAGTCGCTCAAGCAGCACTTCCGCGTGGCTCACGCAGGAGTCAATGAATGGCTGGGGGCTACCTCTTGATTTATACTTCTGCGACTCGTTGGTCTGCCTCTGTCCACCGGGCCCTGAGTGCACACAGTCCCACATGGTACTTGCAGATTGGACTTAGTGAGACTGGGGCTGGGTACCACTGACTCAGCACAGGTGGACTCCACCTCTTGCCCACTTACCTCTGCACTGCTGTGAGCAGCGATTGAAGGGCCACTTCCGGACCTTCCGGAAGTCTGTGGACTTGGCCCTTCGACACTGTAGCAGCTACGACCTTGACCTTTCAGGACTGTAGCAGCTACGACCTTGACCTTTCAGAACTCCTACCGCTACGACTTCTAGAACTCACTAAGACTCCTACCCGACAGGTCTACAGATCGAACCCCTACGACCTACGGACCTACGACAGCCTACCAACTGCTGCGAACACACAGGTCACGGGTTCAACTCTCGGGGTCGACACAGGTACTGTACACAGGTAAGGTGAGAACTAGGGATCGAGCCCTGGGATCTGCGTTCACTACTGCTAACAGGTGAATACCGTTTCAGATTGATCTAAAAAATAAAATAAAATGGCTCGTGCAAATCGTTTGTCAAACTCAGGCATACGGGCGAAAGACTAATTGAACCGTATAGTAGCTGGGTCCCTCTGAAGTTTCCCTCAGGATAGTTGGAGCTGTTGAACAGTTTTATCCAATCGAATGAATCGATTCGATTGGATCTCGATTTCGGCATCAAGATCGAATCGAATGAATCCATTTGATTGGATCTTGATTTCCAAATCAATATCCCATCGAATCAATTCATTCGATTGTTTTTCTTTTTTTTTTTTTAGTGTCCTCATTTTATTTCAAAATTCAATGAAAGAGGCAGGGGTTTCTCACAATTCAACCCAGGGTTATCCCGGCAGCATCAGCCGCTTTAGCTTAAAGTCACTGGATTCGACACTTATCATCTCAATTTAATTCTTCCATCACTTCCATACCCTGCAGTCTCTATCTATTAACCCTTATCCTAAGTACTCTACCTACCCTACCTCACAGACCTACGAGTGGTCTGGACCCGCCTTACTTCGACCGGGAGGAACACCTGTTCCACTTAGCAGTAATGGCACTCTCCATTCCTCCCTACCCTTCGCCATCTACTGTGATCTCCGACTGGAACTGACTGCACCTGGTTCATGAACCAAACATCCACAAGCCATAAAACAGCCGAGTCCTCGAGGACTCTCCAAGAAACAGCAGTTGCAGGCTACCGACTCTACAAACCGTGCAGAGTCCTCCTTCGTGTTTTCTGACACCCATACAAGGTATTTTTTCAAGTCAAGAAGGGTAGTTGGTGGAGTGATGACCACCTCCACAAAGCGAGCCCCAACGTATAGCGGGATACGACACCCTGTGCACAAAGCAGCACACTCGGCCTGTATAGTACGGCACCCAGTCCACCTGGTATCGCATAGTACCAGACAATACCTCATAGTACCAGACGTAGTATAGTACCGGACATAGTACAGTACCAGACGTAGTATAGTACCGGACATAGTACAGTACCAGACGTAGTACCAGACAATACCGCATAGTACAAGACATAATACCAGAATAGCACGACCAAGACCACATGCTCCATAATAGCCTTCCCAAATAAAACCACACACCACCAAACCTGCTTAGCGCCTGGCAAAACCATATGGTACCGCATATTGTGACATATCACCATACAGTACCACAGTAGTGCAAGATGGTGCCGCTTTATGCCTCACCTCCCACAAATTTGTGTGCACCCGTCCGACCTGCATATCAACACACCCAACTCAGATAGTAATCGATGCCATTGGGCACAGCCCATTGGCATTGCAATGCCCCGAGTCGCATTGAATCACGGCCCTGTTCAGTCACGGTCATTTGCTGCAGCCAAGGCGCCTCGACTTGTTGCACTTCATGCAAGGAAAGTCGTGCCATACAACGTAAAACAGACGTTACTTGCAAAACCCTTAGAAAATGAAAAAACGAACTATAAAAATTTGGGATTAGGGGAGGCCATGGAGTGCGGTATATCGAACGAGTGACAAACCACTATTTGAGAAGATGGCCGAAGTAACCTGTAAAGAACAATACAGTCAATTAAATTTCAATTTTGAATTTTTCAAATAGCGCGAGCAGACCCACGTACACTTCCATGTGCACAAAAACATCGCCACATGCAAATTACGGCGACAACTCCACTGCAATTCTGAAGACTCCGGACCATTTACTCTGTGCTTTAAAGGCGGGCTGGGGGGGGCGCTGGGGGGGGGCGGGGGGGGGCGGGTGCAGGGGGAATAATCCAGGACTGGCACCCTGGCCTAACCTGCATACACCTGGTTTACTTATCATAGACAAGTCGAACATCATCATCATATAAAACCAAAAGTACCTTTCCCAGCCATGTTGTTCCAACGAGGCCATTAGCGCACCACATTTTTCGGAACTTCGCCTATTCAACTGAAATGCCCAGCAAATGCCAGACGAAGGGACATGGAAAAAAAAAAAAAAGATCAGTGATGGTGCATCCTGAATGTATCATCTGAGTCCATGTAACCACCTCAAAGGAAAAAAAAAAAAAAAAAAAAAAAACCATGACGCTGCAGCCCTGCGCTGATTTGTTCTTTATTGGCGTGCAGTAGAAGTCTTCAGTGCCAACTAAAGAGGCTCAAAGTTATGGTTCCTTTAAACTTCAGCCGCTAGTACACACCCCCAGCCGTGCGGAGATTCGCTCGTCACCTACTCCAGACCAAAATGGCCGGCAGTTCAGAAAAGCTTGGCGAAAGTTGGCGCACAGCACAGCGCCTCTGGGCCCAGAGGTACTGTTGGTTTAAGGCCAGCAATCCCCTCTCCTTCGGTAGCGGGAACCATTGGGGTCAAACAAGAAGGCATTGCCCATGAACAAATTTACATTCCATGAACGACTTTTGGCGACACCTCGCGGTACTCCTAGAGCCGAACAAAAACTTGCACCCTCCATGCAACAAGACTTTCTCACACCTTTCACGTGTTCACCACATGCCCGTAGTCGAATGAGCTTCCGTGGCCCGGCTCCATATCCGAATGCACACGGCTTGATTTCAACTCTGCAGCGGCAGCAGAAGCTTCCACCGGCGAGACACGACAACGACTCCCAGTAACGCCCGAGAGGCGTCAATTTTGCACCCTATGGCAGTGAACTACTACCAGAGACCCCAAAAGCCGCAAAATGGGGCCCCATCTCACGCATCAGTTTTGCAAACCTATGGTAGTTCACTGCCATAGGTTTGCAAAACTGACGCATGAGATGGGGCCTCAGTTGCAGACTTTGTCTCGTCTGATGTGACCACACCAGATTCCCCGTGAGGACCTCGACATCAAACGGTGGGACCAGGTTCAGTGGGACCAGGTCCAGTGGGACCATGTCCAGTGGGACCAGGTGCCGTGGGACCATGTCCAGTGGGACCAGGTGCAGTGGGACCATGTCCAGTGGGACCAGGTGCAGTGCGACCATGTCCAGTGGGACCAGGTGCAGTGGGATGTGGTGAAGTGGGATGTGGTGCGGTCAGACATGGTGCAGTGGGACATGGCACAGTGGGACATGGTCCTACCAGTCTGGCTGTTGTTGAACTCCTGCTTGCTCTAGGTCTCTAGGCATTTTGTGTGTGAAAATAGGTTAACCCACCAGTACACACAGCACACAGGCCCAGTCACGAGGAGGGTCCATTGTAGATGCATGCCTGTTGAAAAGTGTGGATAAGATGGACTTTTGGGACAGAGCCTCCTGAAAACCGGGAGGCTGAGGAGGACCGATAGTCGCGTAGCCTGCCCGTGGTTTAAGCTGGTCATGATAAATCAGATGAATTGATGCGTATTTCTGGTGTGTGTGAAACTGATTACCGACAACTGCTAACGATGAACCTTACACACACACTTGCATCTCTCTCTCTCTCTCTCTCTCTCTCTCTCTCTCTCTCTCTCTCTCTCTCTCTCTCTCTCACACACACACACACACACACACACACACAC